CTTTTTCTTTTTGTTTTTTATAATTTTTTGAAAATTTTATAATTAGGTCTATAATGTTTTTTAACTGGCTATTATCAGAATATAAATTATGACTAAAACTTAAAAAATTACACACTATATTATTATTATATATATGTATATATATTTGGCCCTCTTAGCATGGCTAATTGCTAAGCATTTTTAATTTTGAATTAAACATTAAATTTCAAAAAATGTAAATCTTTTTTGAGTTATATGGAAAAGGATAAATTTCTCTTTTTTTTTTAATTCATCATTTCTTACATGTTTTAAAATTTAAATTAAAAATTTCCAATTATTTTAAAATTTTAAGCTAAGCAAATAGTAAATTATATAATAATAATAAAATATTATCAATATCTTTAATATCACTATATTATTCAAATTGCTGATCTAAAAAAGATGTTTCCTAAGGTATCTAGAAAGAAGAAAAAGGTGTCGGAACATTGTTAAAGGTGAAAAGCTATCATTACTTTATTAACAAGAAGAATTCTTACGCTGCTTTACGGAAAGCACCATGGCTAAAGTCTAAATAGTGCTGTTTTTATATCAATCAATCATTCCTTTCTTTTTAGCAACGCAACAAAAATTTATTGATTTCTGACTTAACTAATTATTTTAATTTTAAATCAAGTGTCCACAAAATTAGTTTTCTTTTTATTTTATTGATTGTAGTTGACAAAAACATCACCATTAGGTGTCTTATACACTAACACAAGAAAAATGGAAAAAAACTCACATTAAAAAATGGCCTTGGTTTGCCCAAATTAAAAGGAATTGTGTAAACTATTTTAGAAACTCGAATTGGATCTCCTTGTTACTACTCTTAACAAGGTAGAACTTTACTCTATGCTTATAGATAGAATAACTTTCAGGTGTAGCATAACTAATTTAGTTAAAAGGTTAGATAATTATGTTGTAAATATATATTTTTAATTATATGTAGTTTTTATTGAATAATTTTTAATAAAAAAAAGATTTCCAAAGTATATATACTATACAAATCATTAGGGTTGTGTTTGGTTGTTGAAGGCATCAGATTCTTTTGCCTTTGGCATCCGACTACACTTAAATTCTTTTTTGGGACTAAAGAGTAACACCCACTTTATCATAAAGTTTTTCTAAAAATATTAAAAAATTTGGGAACTTTAGTTTTCTAAATATGGGGCAAAAGAATTTAGGGCAATAAGGTAGAAAAGTTTTGGGATTCTTTTACCCAGATTTCATGGAACCAAACAAGCCTTAGAAGATAACTTTTCCTTTCTTTAATCCCCCGTCTCGTACACTAGACCCTATGGAGAATTTAAAGTCTTATCTCTATAGTGCTATAAATGCAACTTTGCTTTTAAAATTATTGCCACATCTAATATTAAAGCGACATTGAGAGTACAATAGGGACGAAAAAAAAAATTGTTTCTCGAGGGACCATATGTTATCACCTTCCATCAAAAACCAAAGGGTGGCAACTTTTTATTTTTATTTTTATTTTTATTGTAAAGATTGGGCAATTACGCGGAGGCTTTCTGGCTTAGGGAAGGGGTACCTAAACTAAAGTTTTCTGGCTTAGGGAAGGGGTACCTAAACTAAAGTAAGGGAGGGGAAAAGGGTTGGCTGCGCCCAACTTATGTCCCATTCCCAACCAGTGCCTCCACTTGGTCATTCCACTCAATCCATACGTGGTGGACAATGAAGGGTACCAATGCAATATTATGAAATTATAAAATTTGGAAAAAAAAAAAAATAATAAAGGGTCCAACCGAGCCTCCAAAGTAGGAATTAGTGAGAATGACAAGCGTAATTAGTTGTTAGTGTAGCTTTTTGGTACCGGGCATATACTTGAATAGAATGGTTTCCTAACAATCTATCTTTTAGGTTTTATATTTAAGTTATATCATATACAAATAAAAATATGTTTTGCAATATGGTCATTGGATGAAGAGTGATCACTTTGAATGTAAGATAATTTTTTAGTATAATTAATGTTTTGTTCACTTTAGATGCAACAAAGTCAATTATGAGAATGGACCATTACTTGTATAAATGGTTGATTTTGTTGCAATCCAACACAAGGGTGGAATATTGTTACAATTTAAATAGTTAATATTATGCATTTTTAATGTGATTGACTATTATATTTTTATATTAATTTTTTTTATCAAAACTTTATATTTTTTTATTTCTTAAATGAATTAAAATGTATAATTATTAATTAAAATAAAAAAAAATAATATTAGTAATTGAGGATGTTGAAATAACATCACCCTCAACACAATTAAAAATATAAAAAGAGATTAATGCTTGTCAACTTAAACTTTAGAAATTTAGTAGGAAAGTCATCTGAAATTATATCGTTTTAATAAATTTTTGTTTAAAAAAACTAATATAACTTATTTTTAAAGTATTAGACTATTTTGGGTTATGACAAAAAAAATTGTTTTTATTTTTTTCTCTTAATACTTTATTAAAATGAATTTTAGGAATGTTTCCTCTTAGTAAGCACTAATATCATATTATCTCCAGTTTATTTTACATGTCACATTTTTAATTGACACAATAATACAAAAAATTAAAAAAACTATAAAAATATGAGAAAAATGAGAATCAAAATTTTTTATAAAATTATTTAAATACCATTAATGAATCTTCTTTATGCATCAATTCATTAAATATATTTTAATATTTTCATTATCAATCATGAAATGTTAATTGTTAGGAAGTTTTATTTTTCATCAATCTGTAAAAGTATACCTATTATTGATTAAAATTTCATATTACCCTTATCAATAATGAAGGTAGTTAGGAAGTGGAGATGTACTCTTTTAAAGAATGAACTAATTATTAATAGAGATTTAAGTTTTTGAGGATAAACCATAAATGAAAAGTATAATTCATCATATTAATTTATTTAAATATTTATAATAAAAATAGTGTAAAAATAATTTTATTAAAAATATTTAAATAAATTCATAAAGTAAATTATGTTTTACTGTACAGTTTGTTTTATAAATATTTTTTTTGTTATTAATTAAAATAAAATTAAAAAATACTCTAATACCATATTAAAAAAGTTAAATTTATAGAAAAATTAAACTATATCCCTTCTTAAAAATGTGATACTTAATATCAAAAGAGAAAATATAAAAAAAGTGTTATATAATTCGAGTTATTTAGTCGAGACAGTTCAATGTGGAACTCGTATGGCATTAATTTCTGGTCAACCCTTTAAAACCAGACTGGTCAACAACGAAATAAATGAAAAATGAAATCAAGGTAAGCTTCGTAATTTCCCCGTTTTTGATGGGGCAATAGAGAAATCTCGGCAGTCAATAAGGAGGCGGGCGTCGATTTATTGATCACTATTTAACTATTGACCTTGGGCATT